AAAATGTCACAAGCTTTGTTGCAGGTACTCGTACAGGATCAAGCGTCCTTGATCCCTCCCCACCTTTGGCAATAGCTTCATTGCGTGCAGTATGCCAAAAGTGCGGCACGCCCCTGCTGAAAATTGCACTGTGATGAACGATGATGAACGCATAACCTGGCTTCCTAATGCACGTCGGTTGCGCAGCAGTTGGAGAGTGACTCTCTTAAGCCCATGAACGAGGACCGTCCACACACACAGTGCCCCATGTCTGGGGCGCACGCGATCTGAGATGCAAAAGATTTATGCTGATCATGCGCGACAAAGTCGAAAACTGTTATCACGGGCCAAAGGTATTGGCAACTTGCATCGAACTGCGTTGCTGGCTGAGCTCGCGGTGTACGTGAGCGCTTCCTTTTCTTCGGGGATGCTGACGATGGCTGCGGCTCAGCAGGCGATATTGTAGCTTCCTGGGTGGCGGCACTGCTGGGTTGATTGTTCTCCTGGACTCGGCGAAGCCAATCACGTGGCGCGATGAACCACGAGCGCCACTTCCGTCTGCCTGTGCCATCGCCATTCTGCCCCTGTAAGAGAGCGAGAACGGGAAGCTCTGTGCATGTTGGGTGGTGTAGAGAGGCTGTGAGATATCAAGTGGTTGCGGCAAAGAAAAGAAACTGGATGTGCTGCACCATGTCATGCGTAAACGCTTAAAGTTGTGGACACGAAAAAGCTTTTAGATGGTAGTGCGACTTGTGTGCCAGTGACATATTCGATTAACATGTTGCTACATCTCACTGACTGCAGGTGCCTGTGTAAGCATGTCAACATCAGCTTGGTCGGTGTGTGCGCTTGCCGTGGGTTGCACTTGTTGAAAATCTGGCTAATGATGTGGGTGTTGGCACTCACACGAAGCCTCGCTCAGGTGATTGCATGCCTGTGTAAAATTGGCAAGCAGTTGTGCCGACTCCGGCACTGTACCTCGGTGGTGAACTCCGATGGTTCTGAGCCAGTGACCGTCATGTCTTGCGCTGATGTTCCTGCGGTGCCACTTGCCAATGTGGCGTAATCAAGCCGTAGGAGAAGCAGGCCGCCTTCCGATCAGGGTACTGCGTTCAGGCTGCGTTGTTCCGATGACATAGAACTAAGGAAATCGTTTGGAGAAGACATGGCACACTACAATTGTCGGCCTGCTGAAACAGCTGAGACCAAGGTGGCAGCATGAACTGATTGTTGTGCAGCAAAAGTGAGTTGCATGTCGTGAGGAATGTGTGTTATCAGCGTGCTGTTTTCAACCGTTTGCCAAAGCTCAGTGGGAAGATCTAGTCGTGAGCCACAGCCGCACGTCTCGTCTCCTGCGAAGTGGTTCCTGCCGGTGGCGCAGCTTAGAGCGAAACTGTCTAGTGGCGGGTGCAGCAGTGTTATGCAAACCTGGCAGCAGGCATGTGCATGAGCAAACTGTGTTGTAAACTAGCGCTTGACTCTGTTTTGAGGGCAGCGGCGAATCCACTGCGGGTCGTATCCGGCTGTTACGTATACCTCAGTGAGCTGCTCCCAATGGACGGCTTCGCCCGGTGTAGCGAGTCTTCGTGCCAAAATGGCACGAGCTGCAAGGCTGCTGCGTAGCACCGTCTGTGGGGATGCTGAGTGTGGTGACATGATGTCGGTGACATTGTTGGTGGCTTTGTAGTGGATGCTGGATGCTGTAGGTGCTGAGTTGGAAATCCGAGAAAATCGAGTCCCGGCTCGGTCTCGAGGTAAATGGGGGCCGTAGAAATGTGCTGAAAGAAACTGTTGAAAATGTGTGGTGTGTTGTGTGCTGGTGGGAATGCTAGTCAGGCGGTTGTCCACGTACCTGGTGACGAAGAAGCCGGTGATTACGCTGATTGTGAATTTGTGTGGTGTTGAGTGCTTGACGTTGTATGTGAATGTGCGGTGTGTGTGTGTGTGTGTCTGTGTGTCTGTGTGTGTCTGTGTGTGTGTGTCTGTGTGTGTCTGTGTGTGTGTGTCTGTGTGTGTGTGTCTGTGTCTGTGTGTGTGTCTGTCTGTGCGTGTGTGTGTGTGTGTGTCCAGGATTGCTCGCACGTTGCCACCGCCATGTCGCATAGTGCAGGGCTGGCTGGTGATCCCATTGGTTCGCCTCGGGTCTGCTGCAAAAGTGTGTTGTCCACGAGGCAGTACTTGAGCATTAGGACTGCTTTGCAGATGTCGGGGAGATGTTGTACGTGAATGGTATGTCGACGTGGCTTCGGGACGTGTGCTCTGCCGCGGTGGACTCGCATTGCCCTGGGAGGGGCTCGTTGTGTGTGGATGTAAAGACGACATGTGCTTTTGCCGCGGTACCAGTGTGTCATAAGTGGAAGGCTGCCAGGAAATCTGTTTGTGGAGATACTGGTGAAGAAACCTGACAGGTCCTGGTTGTGGATAGTGTGTGAGAGTGACTCATCCTCTTCGGCTGTTTTGACGGTGTAAGATGCTTCTCTCATCCGCGTCCCAATGCTTGTGGGCATGCTCGTTTTAGCATGAGGTAAAAGATGTCGGCCAGACCGTAAGTCAACGATCGCATCATAGCCCCGGCAAAGGAGACAATGGGTCTGCTTTTTGCATACTGCTTCTTGGCCTTGGGAAGGGTGTAGTCTGTGGAGCGTTTTCCCTAATCTCGTAGGGCCCAGCGCTACTGTGGGAGTAGTTTGGTGATGCTGTTGTAGGGTGTAGGTGTGATGGGTGACTGGCTGGACATTCAGGACGTCGAAGACATCTGCGTCCGGAAATGTGGCGCTTACCGCTTCGTGGTAGATTCAGGGGCAGTACCACATTAAGCGGTTGGGAAAATGATCTTCGCAGTGGACCACGCCGAATTCATGACAAGTGGTGTGGCCCTTACGGCGTTCTTGATACTAGTAATGTGGATCTTGAGGGATTCTGTAGGTGCTGCTCATGTAGCTGGAGCTGTTGCTCCACGGATTGTAATGTGTCGCTGTCTTTGTCATCTGGCATGGGTATGTGGTGCTGTCGGTGCCATCGCTGAATCTTAGTCGCTGTGCCGGTGGGAAAAGGTGCTTCGTCCGGAATACTTTACAAAGTGTTGTTCCGGCGCGAGTCTGTGAAGTGGTATGACCATGTGGTTGTGGTGTACGTGGTTTGGGTGCTTGTCTGTAACTGCTGGCACGTGCACGTAGGTGGGATGTTGGGTTGCCACTTGCGGTGGACTTTGCACCAGTTGGGCAGGTGGTCCCGGACACGAGGGTGTCTGGTGAAGACCACTGTTGTTGTGGGTGGGTAAAGTGGGAAGGTTTTGTCCCGGTTGGCTGTGATTCGGCGTCGTAGGTACTTGCGGGTATCTGCGACTTGTGTCGGGGGTGATAGATAGAAATGGTGGTGCGGCTGGAGCTCGAACTTTCGGCGTTGGTAATTTGCGTTTTCGTAACGCCGTGGTGCTGGCTTTGCCGGCAGGGATGTGGAATGGTGGTGGTAAGTTGTGAGAGAGCCGGTGGGATGCATACAGCTGTGCTGTGTGTGTGCTGTGTCGGAGTAGATCTCGAGTGCTGTCGAATTTGCGTTTCGCATTGGATGCCAAGTGACAGAGTGTGCACCAGACGTGAGTCTGTTAAGTTGGAAGGTGGCGGAGCGGCGTAGTGGTAGGATGGTGGGTGGTAGGTGTCGGCGGCGTAGCTTTGTCCAAATCAACTTCAGGCCACTGCTTGATAGAATCATGTGGCGTGCTGGTTGAGAGATGGCTCGAAAAGCTTTCTTCATGTGTGGTGCGATGTGGGGGAAGTTCAGCTCTGGCTGGCAGTGCTGCAAAAGGTTTGTTCTTGTGCCTCTCCAGGTGTGGCGGTGGTATGTTGTACTGCCGCACTAGTGGAATGTACTGGTGGTAGTTGTGGTGTTGTCGGCACCAGCGTAGCGAAAGTTCCGCGTACTATGGCATCTTTTTATAGCTTTCTGAATTTGCGATTGCGATGGCTCTCTCGTGTTTACATGGTGTTGCGTGTGCAGCCGATGTATACAAATCGGTGGTGTTTTCGATGTGTGGTAGCGCGGGCGTAAACCACGCCTGTGCCGATGAGTTGTTCAAAGGTGTAGGTGTTGGGGTGAAGTCGCGTGCGACGGCACAGGTGTTTGATCGTCTGAAGGTGGCCGCGTTGTTGTTTTGTGTGATATGTAGTTGCTTGCAGGAGTGTGCTTCTGCCTAGCAGCCGCAGACAGATCTCGTGTGCTTTGCTGGATGAGGACTCCACCTCTGGCAGCAGATGTTGTGATGTGGTGATGGTGTGGTTGAGTTGTGTGGTGTGCTGGTGGAAGAGTGAGCATAGTCACTCGGTGAAATGGCCGATGACACTCAGGATGCGGTTCACGTGGGACTCTTGCAGTTTGCGGATGTGCTGCTGAGGAAGGCCGCCGGTCTCCGCATTTTTCTGGAGCTGTTCGAGTTGCTCAAAAGTGAGCTGGGGTTACTGTCGTAGCAGCTCTTCGGTGTGGCGGCGCATATCCTGCAATCTTCAGACCATCTATCATCTATCCGTCGTTGAATGCCCGCGTCTAAGTAGGCTCCGTAGGCTCCTGTGTAGTTCTGTGTGAACCACTGTGATGCTGTGGTCTGGTTGGAGCGCCAGGTAGCTGTGTCTGGATCTTTTGACGTTTTATGCTGGAGGTTCGGCTGTCCGCAACAATGATTGGTTTTGCAGCAGGGGGGGGGGGGTTGGGCTGGCGCCGCGGACTGTGTGGGCTGTGTCGGCAAGCCTGCCGGTGTGTTGGTGGGTGGGGTTGAGGCTGTGAGTTGGATAGATCTCCAGGCCGTGGTAAGTTTTCTTCAGCCAGTATTCTGCCCGTGAATGCCTCGTGATCGCGAGGATCGGAGGGGTTGGAGATCCCCAACCTTTCGGACCAAGCCGTGGGTTTTACGAGTCTGGGCAGATCGTGTCCAAAATTACCAGGCAATCGTGGAAATTCGGGGATGCCATGAAGTCGTTGGGTGTGGGTGGGATCGTGTAAGTTCGTGGGGTGATGGTAGTGTGGCTCGTGGTGGCAGGTGTGACGGGGGTTGTTGGGTGGGGCTGTGCTGGAAAGGGTGCTTGTTGTGGGCTGTGGTGGCGATGCTGGCGGTGATGCATGTGTACAGCGTGGTCAGACCGCTGGGTGGTCTGAATGTGCCGCGGTGGCCCAATAGTGGGAGCGGCAACGGTGGTGTTGGCTGCATGGCATAGTTACCGTGAGGTGTTTGTGCAATGATGATCTGCGCCCTAACACTTCGAACCTTTTTGCGAGCGATACACTGAAAACAGAAGCGTGTCACACAGCTGCTAGAATGTGCTTGCAGATCTGAGAAGCAGGCTACTTTTGCTTCGACTCACTCACAAAGTGTCACTCTTAGCTAGGAGCGGAAAAGGTGTCCGGGCGTTCTTTGCAGGAAATGACAAGCACGCCTGATGTTGGCTCGTATCATCATCTTTGCGCAAGCTGTGGGCGAAGACTTCGTCGTCTGGTTTGAGATGTTTGAGGCCGCAGGCTGAGTGCTGCGCCAACTGGTCAACTGTTCTGGTGCAGCTCATACTCACACTCAATGTTCGACTTGGTGTCGATCAAATCTGAATCGTCGCTGGCAGGTGTTGGGTGCTTGTGGCAATACCTTGAGCTCCTCGAAGTCTTCTTGGTTTTGTCACCCTCACGCTCACGCACACGCACACGCACACGCACAGCCACCCACACCCACCCACACCCACACCCACACCCACACCCACACCCACACCCACACCCACACCCACACCCACACCCACACCCACACCCCCACCCACACCCCCCCCCACACCCCCCCCCACACCACACACACACACACACACACACACACACACACGGACGGACACACACACGGGGTGTGGGTTGTGGGTGGGTGTGGGTGGGTGTGCGTTCGTGTGTGTGTGTGTGTGTGTGTGGGTATTGTTTGTTTTTGTTGTTCCTCCGGGGTCGGGGGTGTTTTGTTTGCTGCTGCTGCGGACTGCGGAGGGGTGTTGGGTTTTGTGTTCCTGCGGATGGCAGCAACACAAAAAAAATCTTATAATTTCTTATCTGATTGGAGCCTTCTTTCGCGACTCAGAATGTTGGGTCACACGTTGATAAGTTACCGCAGGGGTTTTCGGACGCCATGATTATGTGGAATAGGTTCTTAACCCACGCCTGCCAGCAAGACATTGCAGATATGCTTGTGAAAATGATTTTCAGGAACCATGTAGCCACAGCCTTGAAAGTAGGGGGCGTCGCATGTTTTCTCTACATGGCTCCTGAATGTCATTCTCAGAGGCATATATGATCATATATGTGAACTGTTCCCATATTATTTCCTCCCATATAACCCTAGATTCCCAAACCCTAGCACTGTTTTGACTTTTGCTGCCAGGCGTAGATTCAGAGCCCATTTTTCAGATAAAGTTGGCGTGCAACAGAACGAAATCAGCCCTCCCCCCCACCTGCCACGCACGACCCCCCATTCCAGAGTGAAATCTTGTCCTTGGAGCGCCTAAAATCCAATGCGGCAGCTTCCAAACCGGAAAACCTGCGAAAAGTGTGCGGCAACTTAGCTGCGTGTGTGGCCCTATTTGGCCCCAACTGTATCTATTTTCGGGGGTTCGGTCCCCACGTGCTGTTGCTCGAACCCTGCCCATGCCACCAGCTGAAGTACTCTCGGCTGCTTTCGACTGACACACGAAGTCCTTCGCAAAGCCTCCGAAGCTCACAGACAAGGTGTCCCTGAACTTCTTGAAGGAGCTCTTTTCGCTGCAGGGTATGTTCTTGCTGGGGAAGCCCTTCGTTTGCATGAGCATTCAACCCAACCATCGTCGGCTTACACGTTTGGGCTGCGGGGTTCTCCGTGTTTCAGCCTTCTGAGCTTAACGCAGAGGGCTCAGGATACTGGGTTTTTCAAACCGAGGCTGCGGCAGCACTTGACGACGGCATCTGGGCTGCAGGGAAGCTTTGCCGATCGACACGGCAGCTTACAGCTTTGGGCGATGGATGCACTTTTTTAGCAGGCTGGATTCACTTGAAGTTTTGGGGCAGTTGCTTCGGTTCTTGGCAGTGTCTGACATCATTTGTTGAACGTCTTCAAAACTATGTAGTTCTTTGTGCAAGTCGGTAGTCGTGCGATTTGCTAGGTAAGCGACAAACAGCAAAACCCTCCGTCCTGGGTCTAAACCACCCTGAAGTCTCGCTACACTCCACACCCTCCCGCCAAGCAACAGAATTCTGATATCCCGAAGCCCTAAGCCCATAGGGCCTCGCCCGGCCTTGCAGCGAAGCCCTCATAAACTTCCATTGTTGCTTCTTCCCGGACGAGGCGGCAAATTACTTGGTCTGGGTTCGCATTGGGCTTTGCTGCTAGCTTGCAAATGGTTGTAGGAATTGGCGACAGATTTCGAGTCCTAGGGCCTAGGGCTACACGGTATAGTGGGATTTGCAGAGTTCGGGATTCACGATCGGTTTGTTGCTTGGATTGCTGAGAGTTTCTGCACCGTTGACTTCTTTGACCATGCTCTGCAATTTCCTCTGTCACCCATGCGCACCGAGACCTCGTCTGGCTTGTTCGAGTTGCGAGAGCGTAAAGCAACTCCGGGAACCCGCAACCAGAAGGCTACGTGGTCATATCGGATCTGGCCTACGAGCACCAGCAGTGGACGACACCATCCTCCGAGTTCAGCGCTCTGGCTTTTCAGGGAGTCTGAACCTGAAGTGTTTTCTGGAGGAACATGGTTCGTTCAGGGAGTCGGACCGCTCTTTCCGTGATCCGAACCGAACTTGCCAAAGCTTGTGGGGGTGGCCTACAGGGTGGGTTTCGTTAGAACTGCTACAGGTAGCTGAGGTTCCTTAGGTCAAGTTAGGTGGTGTTGTGTCCCGGAGTGAGCTTGAAATAGTTAATCTGGCTAGTTTGGGATGAGGTCAGGCTATGGAGCCGAGGGTGGGTCGGTTGGGGCTAACCCAAGGGACATTGGATTGGGGTCAGGTCAGGCGAGGTTGATTGGTTAAACGGCTAGGCTAGGTTCGGGTTGGGTTAGGGTAGGAGTTTTGAGGTTAGTAGTTTGGGACCACCGCGTAGCTTCCACGTAGGATTTGTAAGTACCGGGCTCTGTTGTGGAGCAGCTTGGTCTGGAATTTAAATTATAACTTACTTGGAGACGAAGTTGTCCAGGTACAGACTGCAGGGCGGTTTTTGTTTTATCCGCACAGTCCCAGTTTCCGCAGCAACTAGCCTCCTGACCAGTATGAAGATCGAAATGCACCCATGCCTTGACCCGCAGGTATCCTCTTGGCTGTCACCGTGCTTCTGCGCTGGGCGCACGTCCTGACGACCTTTCGAGGGTACCAGTGGGTTGGCGAGAAGGCAAGGGGCCAGAGACCCACGAAAATCCGACTCTGCAAATCAGAGTGTAGTTTGTCGAAGTCTGCACACTTGGCTTAAATGCCAATTGCCCGTTTGAGGACCCTCCAGAAACTTAAGCACCGAAGCCATCCTCGCGATGCGAGCTTAGGGCATCTAGGGTTGATTACCGAGCTCTCCTCAATGTTGCGTGAGTGTCCCTCCCGCGGCATGCAGCTCACAGCCAAGCGTAGCCAAACACGGGTATTCAAGAAGACAGCAAATAGCAATCGTGACGCGACTTGATCAACTCCACCTCGGAAACCGAAAGCAATCTACGTTTACACCAACCTGAAAAAGCCTCGCTTTGTGTTCAAGCCTCAGCTACGACGAAGGTTGGCCCCTAATCGGGGCCAACGTCCACACCACTTCGCTGAAGCCTCAAATCCTTCAATCCTAAACCCCGAGCCGTTTTGGCTTGCGGTTGTGAAGTAATCAAGCGATCTGCGCATTGGACCGGTTGTGGAAAGCACTGCCATGGCAAAACCTACCCACCGCTTCGAGTTCCAGATCAATGGGCAGAAGTACACCTTCGACACGGTGAAGAGTGACGTAGAGAAGCAGTCTCTACCACCCTACCAGGGCTTCACGATCATTTCAGGGCCTGCGACTGTACCCCTTCAAGAGCACGACGAAGTGCGCGACTTCACAATCTACCAAGTGGAGATGCCAGACGAGAAGAAGATCTTCTCCTGTCTGAAAGCCACTGAGTTGCTGCAGAAGCTCGGTACACCGCACCGGGCGGGAACCAGGCCATCCGGCGAGACCTACGATGAGTGGGCCGACTGGGAGAAGACTTCGCGAACCAGCATCAATTTCGCGAGCTTCGACATCAACGCGCGAGATGTGCCAGGCAGCGGATATTATAACATGGTGATCGGCAGTTAATGAAATCTATGTTTGTCCTGCTGCACCGTATTGGCCGCTTCCGCTCCTCGCAAGTGTTTGCCAGCTTGAAGCTGCAATTGTACAGCATGCCAGCACGAGTGGCAAGAAAAAGAGACTCTCGCTGCAGAGTCTGAGTGTCTTTCGCCGAAAGCCGCTCATAGCAAGGGCCGGGAAGCTTGAGGGGACCCATCTTGAAACCAATGCAGTCCTTAGCCTACCACGCCAAAATACCAGACCCTCGCACTATTCGCGCAGCTCCCAGCTTGGCTTCAACTATGGTGGCTAGTGTTTCGGGTAGTTCATGGGTTGGAAAGCAATTGAGGATTTTGCGAAGGCTTGGAAAATCCCGCTCAGTTCGTGCTAGCCCTCCAGGTGTATTACTCTTTCTCAAAAACCATATTCGTTGTTGCTACTACTGCCGCTGTTAGCATTGCTACAAGGATTCTTCTCTTACTCTGGTCAGTAATACTACGTGGCTACTAAATCCCACTCGGCGACCCGAAACTCATGCAACTTATTGCGGCATCGTAGTCGTCCGGCTGAAAAGCTTTAGATGCCCAGGCGCAGCTTTGACATGCCGACCGTTCTGCCAAAAGTAGCAAATCGTGAAACCTAGCCCTGAAAACCATCAACCCGACACTCAGAATCGGAAATCGAGAAGCAAAAGCTTCTACCAAAAGACCTGTTCAAGGTCGCGAAAGCATAGGCCCAGAGCCAGATGCAAAGCGACAAACCTGATCGTCAGCTACCCAGCAGGTTCTTCCCATTGAGCGAGCCTTGCAGCTCAGATGGACTTGCAGATGTTTCAAAGTTGTTTCTGGACGGTTATTGTGTTTGGTTGTTTGGCTATGTCTTGGTATTCCTGAGTGTATAGTTTTGCTTAACTTGGATAAGAATTCTTGCTAAACGCTCTTTCTTAGAAGGTGGGTTTGGTTAGTTTCTGGGTTGTGGCTACGAGTAAGAGGGTGTGCCGCTTTCGATTGTGTCGGTACCAGGGTTCTGGTGCAGTGAGGATTCGGCCCAGATTTTTACAGTTCAGAACTTTAAGGCCTTCGTGTGCGAAGGTGTAGGGCCGAGGGCTCAGATTTGTTCAGCTTTGAGCCCGGTATGAAAAGGGGGATTGCTGTAGCCTGAAGCTTTGAAGCTCCCATTTCGGTCATGCCCTGTGAACAGACTATTACTTACTCCCACTACTGATTCCCGAGCCTGCGCTGAAGCTACCACCGGCCAAGAGACACCCAATCCCAGGATCTCGTCGCGAATGTTTGCCGCGATCCTGTGTCTTGTCATCACCCAGGAACCCAAACGAAGACATCATCCATGGAACCGCCCGGCAACAAGACGCCCCCAACCAAACAAGAGTAGTATACGCTGTATATGTATGTATGTACATATACATGTAGGTGTATATGTGTAGACGTGTGTGTATGTATACATATGTAGGTGTGTGTGTATATATGTATATATATATATATATATAGGGAGAGAGAGAGAGAGAGAACGAGACAGCGCTGTGTTCTTTGTCGCGGCTGCCGGGTGACTGAGTCTGTGATATATATATATATATATATATCTTACCTTGCCTTACGTTACCTTGCATTACATAAAACTACCTTATATACCTTACCTTACCATACATTACATTACATTACCTTACATTACATACAGACATACATGCATACACTGCCCGACGGCAACAGGTTGGTGGCCGGCTGTGCTTTCACCAATGCCTACATCGCCCTGGGGTTGACCGGTGCGGTTCCATGGCATGTTTGGGCCCATATGTCTGCAGGTCTTAGGACGGGACAGCTATGCAGGGCTTTATAGTGAAGGTTGAATGCTTGCTTGTGGCTTGCGGCCTAGGCTGAAGAGTTTCAGGGATGCGGGACTCTGGGCTTCTTAGGCAACACCCTGCATGCCCCGCCCATCAGGCTTTACTGCGACGCGACACAAAGTCGCTGGTGAACACGTGCCATATGAGCCCTTGATTGAGCCGGCGACTCCTCATGGACCACTCTTACGCGTAGATCTGGCCCTTGCCCTCAATCCTACTGCGAAGTCTAAGCCGCCCTGATTACGTCGAGGACAGAGTTTTCGATTCCTTCTATGTGATCTATCGCCTGGGCTTCCTGAGTGATCTCGAGAACCCAGTGTGGAACACCCAGGACTGTCAGGAGTAAAGGGTTCTGACAGACTTTTGATTCACCCTGCAGTTCTTTGGGTTGCAATTGGCTTCTTGGCTTTTCGGCGATGCCCTGTTGTGGAAAGATCCACAGACGGTTTTGGAATTGCATCAAAAAAGGAGAGGAGACGGAAGAAAGGAAGGAAGGAAGGAGGGACACGGGGTGGCAGAGGCGGCTGCCGCCGTCAGTTTTCAGCTCAATGCGGCCCGATCAAGAAAAACCGCCATTTGCATGCATGCTGTACTTGCCAGTGCTTGTAACTGGCAAGCGCTTGCAAGTTGCAACTGGTAACTCCGGTCATTGGCCCTTTTGTTCGATGTTGGTTGGAAGCAGCTAGTCCCATGACGCGTGGAAGCCGCGAGGCTCGCATTTGTCAGAGCATTTGATCCTATCGTGGCTCGAGAACTTTTAAAGGATAGCTTGCAGATTGAGGTCGCAGGATGTACGGCGACTTTGGGCTCAGGGTTCAGAGTTTCGTGGTCTGGCTATTAGCGGCTAGACTTGAGCCCAGTAGCAACAAAACAGTTTCATGCAGGCAAACAGCCCAGGCCTCAAAGATGAAAAGCTTAGAGTGTATGGTTCGGGGGTGTCGGGGTGAAAAGTGTAGCTTGTCAGGGTTCTGGGTTGAAGAGGCAGAGTTTCAGGGATCAGCGTTTACCGGCTTAAGGCCTCTAAAAGCATCGGCCCAGGGCTCGAGAAGCAAGTTGGTAAGTTCTGCCATTTAGGATGGTGCCGACCAGTTGAGCCAGGACACCAAGAAGGATCTTGCCGCGGTACTGAGCATGATCTCTGGCCTTCTCATGACGGTGGTGATGATGTGACTCGGCTGCCCTGTTGCATTTCACAAATGCTGCAGATTCAAGTCGCACCTAATCTTGGGTCTGACAGAAGGAGGCCCTAAGAAAAAGGTCAAAAACCCTAGCCCTGCGACTTCCACACTCACACCATCAGCATACACTTGGCAAAGCCTCCAGTCGTGAGCCGCTAATTAACCTGTTCAGCCCGAAACCATTCTGGCACCAGAGAGACAATTTTCAACAGCAAAGCACGCGCGCAAATCCAGCAGGTTGCTACAAACCCGAAGCACAACCTAATCTTTAGAACTCGGGAACCCTAAACCCGCGACATCCTGTGGAGCGCAGATGTTTCGATTCCGATGGCCCGTTGGGTTGGGACGCCCCGGACATGTCTAAACTCGAGGACGTGAAGGAAGTTGAAGGGAGCCATCCTTTCGTGTACGTCTTCGACAAGGAACTGCGGCGTCCCTTCCAATGTGCGCCTCCACCGCCGTCTCCTCGAGACAGGCAGAAAAGCGGCAGAGACAAGGGAACAGCCGGACGCCGCGGGGGCCACGGCAAAGATGCCTCGAGTCTGTCCTCAGGCTGGCGGATTACAACCAGCATGATATGGTGCAGCACTGGAAGAATCAGTCTTCCGGCCGGAAGAAGAAAGCTATATGTCGCCAACAGTTTCCTGATGAAACTGCCGTGGAGTCTTTTCAGTTGAATTTCAGACGATGGCTCAGGGAGCGGCAGCTCCGGGAGACACTTCTTGAGAGATGCGAGATGGGATCCACCTGCCTCCGAGGGCGACCCGTGCTATCCTTTCTGCACTACCGCTACGTTCTGCCCTGCACGGAGGAGAATGCACACACAGAGTCCGAAGAAGGGTAGAGTCGAGGTTTTCATGGGACTTGTTTCTGCGATTTTCTACGCCTTACGCAGCATCCTGCATAGCGGAGTACTTCTGGAATCCAGCAGCAAGGAAAGGGGACAGGGATTTTCGACTCGTGGCGTGTACTTAGCCCCGAGTCTGAGTGGATCGATGTGGTATGCCAGATCCCAGCAAGTGTTCGACGGTGATGAAATGTTCCATCGTGTGATGCTTAAGCTTCGCTATGACCCATCGAAAGTGATGCCACTCCGTGGCAAGGTCGCAGGCAGAGCAGTGGTGGTCAGCAGCGATGCCGTGGCGATCACCGGCAGCATCATCCAGCCCAACTCGCCACCGTATTCCGGAGAGGAGCGGCGTGAGAACTGGGATCCTTCCCTCGAAGTGATCCCCAGGCCTTTTCGCCCGTCGCAGACATAGACGTAAAAGGCGCCGATCGAAGCCCCGCGAGCTTCACGCAAGGGTTGTGAAATTTGAGGAGTGTGACCCTGACTCTCATCACTGGCAAGCTGCTCGGCGCGATCGTCGGTCTTTGTCAGCTTTGTGTGCTGAATTCGAGAACCAGCTTGGAAATGATCCTGATGAGTTCGGATGCCGACCGCTCCGGCGAAGAACGGACGCCTGACAACTTCACGTTGCCCAGTCTCTTCTGCAGGTTGGCGGAAGTTTTCAATCCTATGGTAGGGACTGCCCATGCACCAACTAGTACAGTCGCGCCTGCATGGGCAGCACGAGAGTGGAGCACCAACACCATCAGCTGCGGTTGAGTAGGTTGCGCCGGCCGTTCACATGGACAGCAGCTCAGCTCTGACTAGGACAAGGCGAGAGGGCTTTCTTTTCTTGTCTTTGCTTCATATACTCCCCATGACGGGTCCTTCGCTGCAAGTGTTGCCGGCCCGCCACTTGTTTCACCGAAAACCATGGACACGATGGAAAATCGATCTTTTATTATTTAGAGAAGCTTCCCACCATTTCTGGCCTGAGCCCCAGTGGACTCTCAACCCGCAGCCTGCAACCTGAAATTGTAGTTTGCTTTTTCAGGCCCCTCCTTGGAGAAAAGCTTGGCATAGCCTCACAATGTCTCACGCCGACTTCGCTCGATAGACCTCGCCTAGATTGTCCGAGCCCCTGCAGCCCTAAAGATCGAAAATTCCAAGAGCCTTGCTTGCTGTCTTGTATGGGGCTCGTGGAGCAAAGTCTGCCTATCGAATGGCGAGACTAGTCATTGAGGATGTTTGAGGTGTGTTCAACTTCAAGCTGTGCCTGAGAGGTCCAAGCCAGAGGTTCCTATGTGTGGTCGGAGGATTTAGGGGCACTCCTGCGGAAAGAGGTAATCGAGGTTCCGTCAGCTCCAAACGGTTTCTCGTGATGGCCGTAAGGCAGACCCGTCATCTGAACGGCCGAGGAATATCTTCATCGGCATTCTGTCAGAGAGCTACCCGGGCGAATGCAGGATCCACTTCCGTTTTCTTTGGTGATGGTACAATCTGAAGCAGCAGGATGGAAGCGGTTGCAGACCCAAACGCCTTTTGTAAATGGTGATTTACCCTCGACTCAATCCGTAAGTCGCAAGGCCTGCTGATCCCCAAGTAATCATCCTCGATGTGTGATTCATGGCATCTGAGCCCTTCGCCGTTTTCCCTATCCGTGCCGGGCCGTGCCGATACAATTCTGGGGGACCCAAGCCTTTCAGAGAAGCCGTTTCGGCTGAACTTTGGGGTGGCTGTCGGCTTCAGCATGGTCAGCTGACGCACGATCCCAAATTCTGAACCCTGTAGCGGCTGCAGTGAGATTTCCTAGTGTTGGCGTGGCCTCTTGAAGTGGGAGCCATCAGAGCCCCAGTAAATGGCCTCGATTGTGTTTGAAGCGCTGCGGACCACGAAAGCCCCAAACCGTAGCCGTTGGCTCTGCTGCCGAGGCTATGCCCAGGCCTACCACAACCGCTACCGCCACCGGATCTGTCTTGAATGCGTAGGGCTTCAGGTTTCCATGCTCAGGGGTGAAAGCCGTAAGGGCTTGTAGGGTTTGGGGGCGGACCGATCCGGACATGGTTACTACTTCCTTGCAAGGCCAGCGTACTTGTTCAGGGTTTTGCATCGAGGATAGCAGCTGCTTTTGGTGGTCGTGATGCTTAGGATCTTCCGATAGCAACCCAGGCAGCTTCCAGCGCGAGCGGGCTCGGATTGCGTTTGCCCACAGTGTCAGGTGGGCCTGGGGTTTACTTGTCTTTGATGCACATACTGTACCCGACAGGATCCATGCACCTTGAGCACTCGCAAACAGTTCCTTTGCAAAAGCTTCCTGGTAATTAATATTGTATGATTATGCCCGCCCCACTCCCGGCAACGATTCTCTACTCTTTTCGGCAGCCGCATTGGCCCCCACAGTCCTCAGGAGTTCCGCCAGGAGCCTTCAAGCCGCCGTGCACCCCATGATCCCGTTTTCAGAGCCTAGTAACCTAGTAAGGCTAGCACGAATCATGCTTACCTCGGTGTCGGAACCATTCATTTTGACTAACTCCTACGTCCTACGTGAGCGATCTCACACCTAAGCCCCCCATAACGAAATTAGTCTAAAACCTGAAATCAAAAACCCTCGAATCTCAGAGTCACAACGACCTAAAGCCCTGAAGCCTGAAACTTCCCAAAAGCCGGAACCCATCACAACTAAAGTAGACTAAGTAGACACCTTGGACAGGAGGAGGGCCGCAGAGGCCTGGCTCGCGGCAATCTGCTGCTGCCGCAAGCGACAAATCGTAGTCGCCAAGAGCCGCTCATCAGCAACATCCGAGGGTTTGCGGATCGTACTGGAACTCCTGTGTACTTTGCCGACTCCTCTCGAGAGTTGCTTGTTGCACGGTCTCCTTTCAGCTCCGACGCTACACGGTACGGTACTGACAGCAGGTTTGCCGACGTAGAATCCGAGATTGCGACGAAAGCTTCAAGTTCTTGGAATATCTGAGCAGGTTTTCTTTGCAGATAGGCCGCGGAATGATTCACCTGGAAAGCCCAGCATGGCCTCTGCCAGAAACTTCCCAGAGTCCCCTTGTGGGCACGAGGCAAGTATCTCTGGTACAGCGTCAAACAGATGCAGGCCCAAGCAATTCAGCATCCCTGCGAGGGTAATGGTGTAAGGGCAAATGATTACATTTAGGCGCCGCTGTTGCTGGCAATTAGCGAAGTAATGGCCTAGACGGAACAGCTTAGAGTGTTAGACTTCTGGACCCGATGTTTCGCAGTTTGTTGACTCTGGTGCGGGCTTGTTGTTGAGAGGAAGTCAGGTTGCGTGTCTCGGATTGAGCAGATGAAGACGGAGTTGAGTACCGGCCCGTAGCGGCGTCCTTTGCTAGACGTGTCTTAGAGTCCAGGGCCCCCCAGCCCCACGCAACCCACCCGAAGCCTTTTCAACTACCCGTGCCATGATGCTGCGAGAGCGGATCTGCCGACGCGGTATTCCCCACCCGAACCGGAAGTCCCTTCCCAAGCCCTCGGACTCTTACAAAGGCTTCAGTAGCTAAGCACCAGCTCCTGCAAAGCGTAGAATACTGACCCAATTCACAAGCGAGAAGTGGCTACGCAAATGGTTGCCCTGAGTGTAAACCCGTAAACATCACTGACCTCCTACACCTTGCAACCTAAATAGCTAAGCAACCCGAAGCATCCCAACTCTCAAGCACAGGCAGTACCCCAAATGGGGACGAAACCTCTTCGGCCAGAGAAGAAAAGGACGCACTCTGGAGGAAGGCGGCACCGCTATGAAGGACCAGATAAGCCCTCAAGTGCTTGGGTTGCAGACTTGAACCTCGGCATCCCTCGAAGTGAAGTCTAGAAAGCATTGCATGTGGACATATGCAGGCATTGGGATTGACTTGAACCTGCTTTCCGTGTATACCAGCACCAACATGGATTTAGGACTGAAGGGTTCTCGAGGCTTAAAGAAGTTGCTGGAAGTATAAAGTCTCACACGCTGCAGACCAAGACTTGAGCGTTCGCTTGCCCCAGTGCACTCGATGGAGAGGGAGACGAGACAGACAGGGATAGAGAGAGTGGGAGAAGGCTAGGGGACAGTGGGACGGACGGAGGGAGGGAGGGAGGGAGGGAGAGGGAAAGAGAGAGAGAGAGAGTGAGAGAGACAAAAAAAGACGCAGAGAGGGAGAGAGAGAGAGAGAGAAATGACTGGGAGAGAGAACAGACCAACTAAACAAGCCCCAAGTCGTGGTGACCTTGAAGGTATGTTACGAGAAGCACGAATGCGACAGGCGAATGTCCACGATTGTCCGCGGGCTCATGCTTCAGAAGCAGTCGCAGCTTGCCTGCTTTGGTTAGGGAGTCCATGTGTCCGAAGGTCTGTTGCGCTTGCAGCTTTAGTGTGTAGGCTCGGGGTCGAAGCTGGACATGGTTTACCGATCAGAAGGTCGGTCAGGAATAGTCAGGTTGGCCTGTGGTTGGAGATGTGATAGAGACCCGCAGCTAGCGCGGTTCTATGAATCTAACCCCTTTAGTCCCCCAAAACCGGAACAGGGAGCTAGTTAGGGCCGATAACACGTCGGACGACACACAGAGCAAAGCCTCCGAGGAGAGGACTCCTGGGCTAAGACTGATTTGGGTGGTCCTGGTTGCATGGTTTTAGGCGGTGTCGGTGTGTTGCACGATAGCCCGGGAGAGCATCTCGCGTGACGGAACTATGTGGAGCCTTGCCTGCCTTGTGCGAGAGTGAACGTCGAAGACCTGAGGTCCACACTGGCTCGGTCGGAAGACCTGTCTTCAACGGGCAAGAAGAGGGGGACTAAGTTTCGGCTTAGGGCTTTCATGTTCGATTTTGCATAGCTGCATGCATGGGTTCCATCGGAGATATTCATCCGACTCGGCAACTGCATGTATTTATGCAAAAAGGCTATGCTCTTGAACTGATAAAGTGTTAGGGGTGCCTTGCTTTGGGAGGCCATATGCCACCAGCCAAAACCACCAGGGTGCCGAGTGACATGCCGAAGAAAAATTGCAGGCTGAAGACCTCCTCTTCTTAGGAGCCCTTAGAAGCCTTAGAAGCCATAGTCCTCAGGCCTCGGTCTGCTTGCGATCCCCGAACCGAGAGGACTCAAACCCGACAGATCCACAACCGACAGCCGCAGCTCCAGAGGCTACCTCGGGGTCTCAGCGTCCTGAGCCGCCTGAGCAATATCGAGCAGTGGCCTAGCGAAACTGCTTTTTCAGATTCAATCCTGTACCCCGGAAAGCTCATTAGACTCTGCACCCTCCAGGCCGTAGGCTTCGCTCAGTTCACCTGCCTTTGCCACAGTAGGTCTGAGATGTCGTAATGTACTTGGACGTCGGTACCACGGAACTTATTGTGACACGTGCGCAGGTTTTTCTGTCGTGGCAATGTATGAGGTCATCACCCATTAAGATGATGTCTGAAAGCGCTCAGCTTTTCTCGAAGTTGCGGGTTGTAGCCTTTCGGAATCAGGTCTTCGGCGAGCCTGTTATTTTGGATTGCTGACCCCAGAAAGTCTAATGATACCTACTGGGACTCTTCAACATCCTAAACTCAAAATGCTGCCCTTCGACATGCAACCAAGCCAAGCATGTCCGGTATGCAGACTCATGCCCTTTCCTCCTCTGAGCTTTCTGCCATCTGATATGGGGTTTAGGATTTCGGGATTAGGATGATATTTCTTGGTTTTTTAGTAAAGTATTATTCCATGTAAAGGCGACTTGGCATGGCTTCCGAAACTCTACCCTGCCTGTGAAGCGAGATTGAATTTGTAACGGGCCGGGAGTTTTGCGAATGCGGCCTGAGATGGCAGAAGATAAACCGTCAAAGCCCAAACCGTGGGCCCAAAAAGGCACGCGGCACCGCCACCCCTGAAGGATTCCACCACGCTTCAGGCTGCGTGGGTGGTTCTTTGACTTAGGATTCTCATGCTGGCGGGCGTTGCTGGCGTTTAAGCTCAATCAGTTTGTTCTGGGGTTGGGACTCACGGTCTGCTTGCAAGGGGGTGAGGCTATTGAAGAGCAGGTGTGCAAGTCTCAAATGCTCTCGGCCGGGACTTGAGACCGACTCTGTGTTGGGATTCGCTTTGCAGCTGATTCAGGCAATACTTGTGTGTGAAGAGCCCGAGCTGTTAAAGTTTAACACCTATCGAAGTATCTTGCATCGAAGACACCATGGCCTACAATATCTCACTGGGCCTTTACTGAAAACGGTTCTGCTTTACCGGTCTAGGACCCTTCAGCATCGCTTGATTGACGAGGCCGCTGAACTCACACACCTGGCAGAAGCGACAATTCGGTCACTCTAAACTTGTCAAGCCCTGAGTCCTAAAACGCCACAGTCTCGAGCTGCGAGGCAAGTCTACTCATCGAGTCACGATGGCCTCAAGCCGAACCCGAAAGCAAGCAGTCGGAGCGGAATGGTCACTAAACATGACCACTAAAGCCATTTTGCGCCACTGCCACCTTACAAACTAGAAGACGGATACTTCAGCTCATACCCGGTTTACCGTTCATCCGTCATCGTGACACTACGGATCAGGTTTCAAGACGTGTAAGGTAGAGGGTCGTAAATTGCAGAGCTTGGAGCTTTGGCTGAGTACATTCCAAGCAAGATCGGGGTAAACTCCTTTGGCTGCGTTTAACAACCCCCAAGCAGTACATTCCAAAAAAGACTTAAAGATCAGGGTAAGCGCCCTGGGCTGTGTTCAACAACCCCCAACCAATACATTCCGAAAATGATCGGGGTACAAGCCTCTGGTTCTTTAAATACCCCAATACCCCACCACCAATACGTTTTACAAGAGATCGGGGTAAACACCTGGCCGTGTTTGACAGCCCCAACCAAAACATTCCAAAAACATCGGGGTAAACACTTTTGGCTGTGTTTAACAACCCACAACGAATACATTTCAAAAACACTTGGGGTAAACGCCTTTGGCTGTGTGTTTAACAAGCCCCAATCAATTCATTCCCATTTTGATCGGGGTAAACGCGTGTGGCTGTGTTTAACAATCTCCAACCGATGCATTACAAACAAGATCGGGGTGAACATCCGTGGCTGTGCTTAACAAGCCCCAACCAATACATTCCAAAAATCATCGGGGTGAACGCCTTTGGCTGCGTTTAACAACCCCCAATGAATACATTCCAAAAAAGATCCGGGTAAACACCTTTGGCTGTGTTTAACAACCCCCAACCGAGACATTCCCAAACGGAGCAGGGAAAATGCCTGCGGCTGTGTTTAACAAGCCCCAACCAATAAGCTTCAACATGATCGGGGTCAACGCTTTCGGCTGTGTTTAACTGCGTCCCCCGTCATGCTTCCCGAGTCCTCCCGGGTCCCGCGTCCTGTGTCCGCGTGCCGCGTCCCGTTCAGCATACATTTGATACACGACCCCCTCATTTGGCGACTCCGGTTCATCACAGATTCATTCGGCGATTCCGGGTCATCATATCTCTCAAGCACACCTTCTCGGTGAATCATGTACCTTAAACAAGCCCCCTCTTTTGGCCGTTCCGGTTCATCATATATCTTACGCACACCCTTTCGGTGAATTATGTACCTCAACAAGCCCCCTCTTTTGGTCGTTCCGGTTCATCATATATCTTAACCAGGCCCCCTGCTTGGCGATTCCAGTTCATCATATAGTCATATATCTTAAACACGCCCCCTCGGTTTATCAAACGCCCCCTCACTTTGCGTTCCGGTTCATCATATTCTAAGCAGACCTCTCCTTTCGCGATTCGGGTTCAGATAGATAGATATAGATAGACAGACATAGACAGACCCGCGTCCTCCCGCGTTTGCGTCCCCCGTCCGCATGCCGTGTCCTGCGTCCTGCGTCCTGCGTCCCGCGTCCCGCGTCCCGCATCCCGCATCCCGCCGCCTCCGGGGCAAAAAGCAACCTATACCCCAACCATGCAATATGCCTTTGGGTGCATTGAGCAACCCGTCAACCAATACATTCCACAAAAGACGGGGGTAAACCACCTTTGGCGGTGTTTAACAATCCCCACCCAATACATTCCATTAAAAAAAAGGATCGGGGTCAACGCCTTTGGCTGCGTTTAACAGCCCCACGCGAATACATTCCGCAAAGATCGGGGTAAACGCCTCTAGCTGTGTTTAACATGGCAACCAATACATTCCAAAAAAGATCGGACACTCCAAACAAACATCTGGGTAAAACGCCTTTGGCCGTGTCTAACAAGCCCCAACGAATACATTCCAAAAATCATCGGGGTAAACGCCTTTGGCTGCGTCTAACAACCCCCAACCAATACGTTCCAAAAAAGATCCGGGTAAACACCTTTGGCTGTGTTTAACAACCCCCAACCGAGACATTCCCAAACGGAGCAGGAAAATGCCTGTGGCTGTGTTTAACAAGCCCCAACAAATACATTCCAAAAATTACCGGGGTAAACGCTTTTGGCCGTGTTCAACAACTCCAACTACTCGTAGCAAATACATTCCACAAGGAATCGGGGCAAGCGCCTCCGGCTGTGCTTAACATATCCCGACCAATACATTCCAAAAATTGGCTGTGTTTAACAGCCCCCAATCAATACATTCCAAAAATGATTGGGGTAAACGCCTTTGGCTGTGTTTAGCAACCCCCAACCGAGACATTCCAAAACAGACCGGCGTACAAGCCAGTGGCTTTTTTATCAAGCCCCAGCTGTCATTCATATAATGGCCCCCAACCCATACACTAGATCGGAGTAATCGTTTTCGGTTGTGTTTAACGACCCCCAGCCAATACATTCCAAAAAAGATCGGGGTAAACACCTTTTGCGTCTATCCTGCAGGGCATCGTCCCCAGCCCGGACAACGGCAAGTCATCGCCACCATCAAGGCACCGGTCATTTGAGCAGCAGTGTTTGATGCAACTTTTGGTCCGTTTACTTTATAAATCCGCATCGCTAGCAGGGCCCTAGACAGCCGGGGGCAAGAAGAGATTACGGCACCAGGCTGTAACTCTCGGAATCCGGAGCTAGCTCCAGTCCCGAAAGCTCACAAGCCGAAACCATGAAACCTTCACCGCTTGCACTGCTTGGAATGCCGCATGGTAATAGGGACTCTAAGACGGACCATGTGTCGATATTGTAAGGATTGTAAGGATCCTGAAGGCATGGATCGCCAGATCTCAGAGACCAAGGCCTGAAGCCACAAGCCCTCTATGACAAAACAGAGGCCTCCGGCTTTCTTCTGTTCACGTACCTGTCAAGACGCACAGGATGTATACGTATGTGTATTCGAATGTATGTATGTATGTATGTATGTATGTATGTATGTATGTACGTATGTATATATGTGTGTATGTGTGTACATACTCGTATGTAACCTGTGTATGGATACATGCATGCATGCATGGATGTATGTCTGTATTTATGTATGTATGTTCATGCGCATGCTTATGTACTTTATATATATACACACACAGAACGCATCAAAATATGGGCCTGCGTTTTCAAACACTTGTGATGTATCTCTTTGTCATGTATCTCACTCTATATATATATATATATATGTGTGTGTGTGTGTTTACTGAATTGGTATGTGTATGTTTGTCAGTGCCTTGTTCCCCACATCACTGTGGGGTTTTGTTTTTGTATGGTGCACCGTCCTCACCATCCATATCCTCATCACCATTACCACCCACCGCCACCACCCTCCTCACCTCCACACGCAACATAAAGCGCCAAACAGAACACAACACAACACACACACACACACACACAACACACACACACAACACACACACACACACAACGCGCACGAAGACTCTAGACTCTAAACGCAACTAAACGCTCTCTCTAGAGGGCTCTGCGGGATGAAACGCGCGCCCCGGACCAAACTCGTCTGGAAGACTGTAAACGCGACTAAACGCTCTCTTTGGAGGGCTCCGCGGGATGAAACTCGCGCCCGGACCACGTCTGGAAGACTGCACGAAACGCTCGAGGGCTCTGCGGAATGCAACGCGCGCGCCCGGGACCAATCTCGTCTGGAAGATTGTAAACGCCATTAAACGCTCTCTCTAGAGGGCTCTGCGGGATGAAACGCGTGCGTCTGGAAGATTGTAAACGCCACAAACACTGAGGGACTGCACAGACATGCACAACAGTCACAGCACTGCACGCAGCACGCGGCACACAGCTTTCGCTACAGTACACCGCACAAACATGCACAACACAGGTTTGGGCCAACACACGCACAAACAACACACACGACTCAGACAACACACACTCAACACACGCAGAACGCACACAATACAGACAACGCACGCAACACACACACACACCCACACACACAGAGAACACAGACAACGACACACAACACACACAGCACACAACCACTCTGAAAGACTCCAAACGCCACCAAATGCCACTGAGGGACTACACAGACATGCACAACAGTCACAACACAACACACATCACGCAGCACACAGTTTTCGCTACACAGCACAAACATGCACAACACAGCTTTGGGCACACACACACACACAACACGCGCAACACACACACAGACAGAACACACACAACACAGACAACGCACGCAACGCACACACACACAGAACACAGACGACGCACACAACCCACACACTTACAACACGCACAACACACACACACACACATGTAGATTCCGGTCGTAGCCGGTTGTCGCTTTTCTAGAGAGTCATCCTCTCATATCTTTTTGTCTGTCGTCTCTTTGCTGAGCATCTACTGGATAAGAGCCTGTTGTCTATAAGCAAAAGAAGAAAGAAAAAATAACATGAATACAACTTGAAACTAGATGCGGTACATCATTCTTGAAAAGTTGATGGAACCTGGAGGCGTCATTGATATGTCAAACGACTCAGCGCAGAAGCAGCTCAGCACTACAGAAAGCTTCGGCAGGTACAGAGCTACACGTCCATAGCTCCTTCCGCCTAGTCCGCTAGCTTCGTTGGCTGGCATCACGGAATAGGCTGCTAGCCCCCTGCTCTTCAGTCAGCTTACAGAATCGAATACTTCAACTCGCTTTGCTTTAGTCAACTCTAAGTAGACGTAAGTTCCTTAGAAACAGGATTTACACACACACACACTCCCGGTTAAGCCGTTTGTCACTATGGCTGCAAAACCATCACAGCAACTACAATCCGGCACATTCTTTATCGCGATCACCTACGGCGTCGAATCTCTGATCCATGTAGGCGAGGTAATGATGCTCAGCAACGGTAAGAATTAGCTGTTCTGATAAAATCTAGGGCGTGCGGCTACGCTTTCTCTTCCTGCTTGGTGACGCATCACTCTCCAAAGGCGAAGCTGAACCCGTGGATGCCGAAGTTGCAGATGTGCTTGACTGATTGTTCAAGGCCGCTTTCTTGTGCAGCCAAGCATGGGTTACAGGAAACCACTCCCAGTACCAGCTCTTGCCCGAATCGGAACATTTCCAACACCAACGCCGCAACACTGAAGAAGCTGGCGATCTGCTGCGTTCACGATTGGACTGGACTCCATGCTGAAAAAACTAGCAAAGTGATGAGGAAATGAGAACGGTTGCGAATAAACCGGCAATACAAGCTCAAGCAAGATTCACTCTGTACAGATGAAAGCACGGCAAAACACTCTGATTTTGGTGGCCACGAGAGACTCAAACAATGGTGAAATCGCGTGAAACTACTCTAGGCTACAAAGCATCCTGACTGGTAACAAGTTGAATAGGGGATTGTACAGCTCAGTCACTGCCTCGGTAAGCTCAGTGCATTGCTGTGAGATGTCTCTCACTTGTCCTTGAATGGATTCCAGCTGCATCTGCTGAATGCGTTGGACCGGCTTGTCTTCTTCTCGGTACTGAATCGTGTCCGATCGAAGTGATTGTAGTTCGCTTTGGGTATAGCGAATCCAGCGGTCGAAAGCCAACAGTGGTTCCATTGCCGAGTTGAGATTGGCCATACTGAAAACTCTTGAACCGGCTAACAATGATGCATTGCACAGTTGAACACGGGTCTTGCATCAGCAAAGAAATTACGATGCAATAGTACTCTCTGAGACATCCGAGTGCTCAAGCACGTTACTCCACAATCCTAAGCCGCAAGTAGTCATGCTCATGCGTTCGATAAGAGCGATGCTGAAGAAATTCCAAAGCTGCTACTCGGTGCTGTAGTTGTGCAATCTCATGATTGCAAATTTCAATGAAATCTGCCAACAGCTCACGAAAATCACTGGTCAGGGACGAAGATGTAGGTGAGGATGAGTGCGATGTAGAAGCAGTATTGCCCTTTGTAAGAATCTGTAAGAGGGCTTGAGAAGTTGCTTCTCGCCGCTGAACTGGATCAGTAGGTGGAGCTGTAGGAGAGGCTGCATTCTCTTTCGAAGATAGAGCGCTCATGGTAGATTGTCACCGATGCAGAAGAAAGTAAGACTCAAACTGAGAGCTGAGCAGCTGATGTACGGTGAACCATACGTGTCTTAAACTACAAACTTGTTTGAAACATAATTTCTAATTCACGGAAGTTGTGGTTGCAACTTATGTGAGGGCCAAACATACTTGCGAATGTTGGCTGCTCTATACTGATACAACGACGTAGTACGAAAAGATCCAGTCGTTGTGGTAGGCAACCGAAAACGCCACAAATCATCCGTCATAATCATCACTACCGCTGGTGTGGGCTGCAAATGCATGTCAAATCCAAGAAACTCACATTGAACTCCGGGTGTATCTACTGCTTCCAGATGAACTGGTGGAACACAAAAGTCGTCACTAAGAAAGTGCCGAAACGCCGGAAGGTTCCTGAGGTCCTTGTCAATCACAACAACTCTGTTGTCAACACAACGAAGACAAATGAAACGGTGTGAAATATGGTCAAGTAAAACTGAATGCTTCTGACACCAAGCTTGCTCCAAATATGCAACACTGATGCTGGCCAGTATAGGAGAAATCTGATTACCAATGGCAGCTCCTCGTTGTTGAGCAAACACTTTACCGCAGACTGCAAAGAAACTGAAGTCGCAAGAGATCCTCACAATGGCCAAAAGATTTTCGAAAAAGGCCTGGTGCATTCTACTGCCAGCAGCTCTTGCCCGACCGTTCCAAACTCGTAATTTGCAATTCTCTTTTATGGAAACACTAAACGAATAAGTGGCAGCATCCATGTTGTACTTCAGCATAAACTGCTGCAACGACCAGTCCGCAGCTTGCATGTTTCGCTCACAAGGTATGCTGGTGACAAAAGCCAACCAAATCCTGGTTAAAGCTGACCAAATCTATATCCGCAGGCATTGACCCAACGAACTTTACAATCTTGGCCATCATCTCCGGAAATGTGTCAAGTCCAAAACTAGCAGCCATGGTTTCCTTCTGCAATAAGTCAAGAACAATCGCAGTTGGCACGAAACGGCTTGGCAAAGAGGAAGAACTTGTAGCTGATAAATAATTGGTCTAGCCTTAAGAAACTGCTTCTTCTACTTCAGGAGAACATACGCAATCGGAAGAGAAACACTTCTGTTAGAAATACCCCAGGAGTACGATCTCATCCTGAAGCAGGTATTGTTCTTTCTGAGATACACTCATAGAAATATTTTTGTATACCTGCTGGTCATTGAAGGTCGCCTTGATTATTTGCCAACACATCAGAGGACAAAAGATGTAGATATGGTTAATGGCATGGTCTCGACCATGTATGACGAAGTCCTCTAACAATGGTTGTAAGTACATAATATCTTTGCGCTAGACGGTGGTCCATGCAGCCTGAACATGTAACTTCCATTGCTCAACAATAAACTGTGTCCAAAGACCGCAGTCAAAGTTGTTCAAGCCAGTACCTTTCATCCAAGAGGCAATCTTAGTAGACGTAGATTCACAATACAGTTGAAA